GACGTCGGCGATGGTTGAAGCTCGGAAATATGTAAGATGCGCCAGAACGCCACTGCCCTGAGCGTTCTGTGCCCGTCCTCTCTAACTTAACCGTGCTCAGGGTGACTTATACTGGCAAGTGATAACATCAAGGTCTCGGGCAAGCTGGCAGGTCGGTCGTCTGCGCCGCCATATGAGGGAAACATGTACTGTGCAATGTACCCAAGAGGCAGGGTCCCACCTGCCCGGATTCCTCGACTTTGGCACTCAAGTCTCAAAGGCGATGATTGGGGGTSAGTGSARCCCCACGTCCGTTTTACTRTGTCCCTGCRCGCCACCTTGAGACACAMGCAACTCGGACCATTCAAACCCTTGCATGCGGGCATGCCCCACGCTTGCACTCTACTTGCAGGCAGCCATCGGTTCCACTGTGGYTGGGGACCACCAYCTTGAAGCACGATCGCTCGACGGCCTGCGTGTTCGGCCTGTGCTCTATGCCAGTCGTCGGATCATATGCATGCGCTGTGTTTCTCCTGCGCGAGCGATCGCTTTGCCCCCTCCCAGCGTTTTCTTCTCGTCCCGGCTTTCGTTCGTGCTTCTCCCCCCGCTCGGCGCAGAGTCACGCTTCGTAGGACTTGATGGGCTGAGGGTATACTCACACTCGGGCATTTTCTACATATCTCTTGACGTGATTGCCGTCATRTTCATCCGGATGTGAACGTAATTACGGTCAAATGCATTTAGAAAAGTGCAAATGTATATGCCTCAGTCAGCTAGCGATTCCAACCACTTATGGCAAGGAAGGTGACCTCTCTCTCTCTCTCTCTCTCTCTCTCTCTCTCTCTCTCTCTCTCTCTCTCTCTCTCTCTCTCTCTCTCTCTCTCACGCGCGCGCGCGCGCTCTTGCTCCCTCGTGGCCTCGATAAGCAATCACCATCCGTTGTGCTTGAGCGGCGCGCGCGCTCACTTGTGCCCTCGATAAGCAATCTTCCCGGACAGGTACAGCCGTAATTGCTCCTCCTGATTATGGATGTACCCGGAAAGACCTCTTGTATACATTACCATCCGTTGTGCTTGGGGCGGGGGACAGTAAGGCCTCCACCAACCCCCCCCCAGGCACAACAGACCCTGATAACTAATGTATACAAGCTATCTTTCCGGTTCGGTACCGCCATAATGGGCCACGTGACGAGACTGCATATGTAGAACTCCAGGTTGCGACCTTTTTGCTAGCCAATTGCATTGGAAACTCGGCCCCGGGCTGAACAGTGAACTGCCACTTTGATCTTTCGATTGGATTTAGACAGTTCTTTTGTGAGTCCCCCGTGGTTCTCTCTCTTTCTTTTCCCTTCAAATTGCTGCCTGTCTTCGTCTTTCGCCCTCAGCCTTCCGGGCCCTTCCCTCCTCAACTCTATTCGAGCTGCCTTGCGAGTACGCGTCCCGTAGTCAATGGGCACGCACCGTTCTTGAAAATTACTTCAAAGCAGCAGATCTGCCGAGGGCCCACGTGTCCCCCAGGCAAAGATATGTAAGAGAAACGGAAGGATCAGTAAAAGCACAAGTGTCAGGAAGTACTCGCACTACGACTGCTCGACTGATCTCTGTGGACGTTGTTGCCCTCAGATTCATCCAGTATTCGCTGCAATTAAGGTCTTATAAGGGATTCAGTGAACGATTAGGCACCACGTCTGGCCCTGGCTCCAGACCACTTGCCGAATGTGAGAAAGATAAAAGAATGCAAGCGTATCTCCCCTTCGGGCCCTTCCACTTCCATGAGAACATACACTACTGGTAGGCATTTTATTAAATCCGGTGAACAGCGCATGCAGGGCGGCCCTGTTCCCTGACTAAGGCTGACTTGTTTCAAGTGGTATGACAACTTCTCTCAAGTTCTCTGTACTAAATGATGCCTGGATGTGGGGCTCTCTGTAAATTTAAACTGTATAAAAGGATAATGTTCAACATCATCAGTGGGAGTACATGTCCATGCACTTCAAGTTGGCAAAAGTGGACGACAAATACGGCGACAGGTGGCCGTTATTCGGAGCACGGGTTGTGGGTTTCTCAGTTTTCTGTGCAGTGCATGACTCTATAGATGCTCCAAATAGTGGCCAAGACGGTCTTCTTTCGTCCCAGGAAGCACATTTCATTTCTTTGTTTTTGCTTTTTTTCTTTCAAGGTGCAGACCGTGCAGCTCGCGACCAATAAGAATGGAGCATCCCCGCAGGGCGGGGCTTACTAGTGTGCAGTGTGCATATCACACAGTGTCACTCTAATAGGACCACCATGCAGAAAGGAAAAAGAAAAAAGTTTGTGTTTCTTTGAAGACTCACTACTCGGTGAACGTCAGTTTCTGTTGTTGTGTTATGAGAGGCCAGCTGTACATGGGTCCTGCTGCACTACTCTCCATTGACTTACCGTGAGGGCACGGGTGCGTAGTTTGTCATGTTCTCTATACACAACTCCAAGTGTGTGTGTGTGTGTGTGTGTGTGTGTGTGTGTTGTGTGTGTGTGTGTGTGAGAGAGAGAGAGAGAGAGAGAGAGAGAGAGAGAGAGAGG